GTCGATGACAGTTCTTCAATTTAAGGGTGGTGCCTAATCAGGGTTAAGAGTTTCTGCCATGAATATTTATGTGACTGGATGGGCTGATGTTAATCTGCAGATCTTTAGGCATATGGGGCAGGGTGTCCTATGAGGTATTTGGATTCATAGTGTGGTATTTGCCTCCTTCTCTGCTGCCTCAATTCCTCATCATTAATCCATTTTGACTAAAAGCATGATTCAGCTTGATGGACATGTTATTGCCATTTTAACTGATTAACCAAGTTAACCAAGATTAACCACAATATTTTAAACAAGATATTCCCTTGGCTCAGGGCCTGGTACAGTCAGCTTGGATGGATGAGCAAGAGTTGCTATTCTGCTTTTCTCACCATTTGCATTGAGGTGCCCTGTGCATATTGAGAGCACCAGCCACAAGTTTGTGTCTCACCATCTGGCCTCCAAACCCTGTCCCCATCACCCCTGTCCCACTGTAGCTAATTCCACACTGCCCAAAAATCATGGACTTACCTGAATCCGGGATCTATTTCTCTCTTCATTGAGAGACTGCTTGTAGTTTCAACAAGTGTCCACAGTTGGGTTCTGGTGATGCTGATTCCCATGATTGACAGAAATCCTACTCTCTGTTTACTTTAGCCATTGCAGCATGCACAGCAAAGCAGCCTTTTCAGAATTTTGTCCATTGGTTTGGGCTCGAACAGATGGCACAAAGAATTCACCCTCTCAGCCCTTCCCTTGTAAACTCAAGCCCCCAGAGTAATTAATTAAATGCTAAACATTAGGTGTAAAAATGCTCACTTTGTTTATATTTTTGAATTTTACTCCAGACATTTTTCTCTGAATCTGTAATGCAGGTTACTATTGGTGATTCTATCACTTTTCGTGAACCAAACTGTGCTTTGAGCCTGACCAGAGCTTTGCATGACTGAAACAAGATAGTTATCATCTCATGTTTTATTCCACTCTATGTAGAGGCCAACATCCCGTAAGCCTTCTGATTCTTTCCTATATCTATTCTTGACCTGTTTTTATTAATCTATGTATCTACACCTCCAATGCACTTTATGGCTTGACAGTTTCAAAGCTTTTCCCAGTTAGAAATTACCCTGTTATATTTTCACTTTGGCCTCCCTTTAAATTTGTTTCCCTTTGTTTTGGTCATTCACTTAATCTGTCAATACCTCCTTATCATGTTATTCTTACATAAACACTTTTTATAATGCTATCAACTAATGTCATCGGTAACATTGGAAATTAGGCTTTCTTTTCCATCATCCAATTCAGAAATAAATACTGTTAACAATCAAGGTTTCAAGATCCTTGCAGGACACCACTAATTCCATCCTACTCGACAAAGTATCGGCCCACCATTCCAACTGTCTGTCTGCTGCCGCTCACCAGGTCAATAACTTTCCTTCAATTCCACGAGTTGCAATTTTAGCAAGCAGCCTCCTATGAGGGATTTTCTAAAATGCTTCCTGGAAGTCATGTAAATGACATCCATATATATTTCCCTGCTGACTACTTTAGATAACTTCAGATAAATCAACTGATTTCATCAGGCACAACATATCAATGACACTATTCCTAACAAACCTCCCTGGTTTCTCTACCTGAATCTATAGCTTTGGAAGACTATTCATTTGGAAAAATATAGACCAGGGCACACCAATAAAATTTCAATAGTGCGAAAGAAATTGAAACACAGATTTCCGAAACTGAAAGTTACCATTGAGAACAAACAAAGCTTACAAAATGATTACATTTGAATTGTGTTGTATGTCCCCAGCCTCAAAAACTTATATTTGGCTTTATTGCATAACTTTGACTGTGCAGGATGATATGAAATTCTTGGTAAGAGACCAGCCTCCCATTATATAACTATCTCAAAGACAAGAGAGCAATTGATCTAATATTGCATGATATGTACTACTCTGTGAAGTCGAAATGGCTTTCTGAGCCATTCCATTGTCAACACTAGTGGGACTACTTTTGGTCAGTAAAACTTATTTTATGCAAATACAAAATAATTAGATAAAATAAACCAATTTATGGTGTGTCAAGGAAAAATGGCTACACTGCTGTGCAATCATTCTCATTATTGTGAGACATTTTGGTTTTAAAAAGCTAATTTCCCCATGATAGAAAGAATGTGATTGCACTGGAGGAGATATAAAGGAGATTCACCAGGATGTTGCCTGGGATGGAGCTTTTCAGCTATGAAGAAAGGCTGGATAAGCTCAGATAATAAGGTGTAGAGCTGGATGAACACAGCAGGCCAAGCAGCATCAGAGGAGCAGGAAAGCTGACGTTTCGGGTCTGGACCCTTCTTCAGAAAAAAATTTTGCTATCGTCAAAATTCATTGGTAAAACTTAACATCATTGTTAAAATATAAACAAATACTCATTAGAATATTTGCTAAAGACTTGGCAAGCAAGTCGACAAACATTTCTCAGGACTTTGAAGTACATGATAGGTAAAGCAGCCTAAGATTTCAGTCATCCAAACTCAGGCCAATGCTGTTTCACTGTGCACTGCATCTGTCTGCATGGGGAGTGATGGAATTCTGTCATGATAAATGAGATTGAAGAGACACTGACTGAAAAATGCTTGAAGAAAGTGTAATCTTCTGCTGGGCAACAGCATGGAAGAAAATTCACTCTGGAGGAAGGCATTGATTGAAAATACAAGTTACCTTCTGCTTTACAGTCTTGAAGCAGATGGGAATGACTTGATTGGCTAACACATGGAGCAGACATGACCTCAACTGAATAACTACAGTGTCTTTTAAACTACAGTTTCGGGAAAAGTATTTTTATTTTCAAAGCATTGCTGCACTGTGCAGCTAGTAGTTTACTTCAACAAGGCTAAACACTGTATTAATTTTTATTATTGATTTGGTACATTATTCCTACATGCTGCTAGTCCTTGATAATACAGAAGCAGTACTAAAAATGTGCACTGGTTGAATCTAAATGGTTTAATTGCTCAGATGAAAAGTTGCTATTGAATTTTATTGCAAAGTTGACTGTGCGCTGTCATAATATTAATCTATTGCTTCAAAATTACAACCAGTACAGACCTACCACAGAGGAATAGTCATTAGTAATCTTGTTCAGTTCAGTGGAGTATCATTCCTTGGCTGAGTTTACTTTGTTCATTTACAGACAACTTATGAATCAAGAATACCTTTTTTTTGACAAGAATGGATCAGGACCAAATCTAGAATATGTGTACAATGTCAATCTTTAGTTCTTTTACACATAAATATGATAAGACTATAAGATACAAGAGCAGAAATAGGCCATCCATCTCATCAAGTCTGTTCAGCCGTTCAATGGGATCATGGCTGATTTAATAACCCTCAACTCCACTATCCTGCCTTTTCTGCATAACTCTTGATTCCTTTGCTGATTAAAATTCTGTCTATCTCAGTCTTCAATATACTTAACAACACAACATTCACTGCGCTCTGAGAGAAGAAATTCCTTCTCATCTGTCTTAAATGTGTGACCCCTTATTCTGAGATTATGACGTCTAGTCCTGGACTCCCATAAGGGGAAACGACCTGTCCACATCTAACCTGTCAAGCCTGCTAAGAATCTTGTATTCTTCAAGGAGGTTGCCTCTCATTCTTCTACATTTCAATGAGGATAGGCAAGCTACTCAACCTCATAAGACAGTTCATCCATACTTGGTATCAACCTAATGAACCTTTTCTGGTCAACTTCCTATGACAGTATATCTTTTCTTCGATAGATTAGGAGCCCAAAACTGTTCCCAGTATTTCAGCTGTGATCTTGTAGTTTTAGCAAAGCCTCCCTACTTACACCCACCATTCTATTTGCCTTCTCCATGACTTGCTGAAAGTGCAAGTTGTTAAAAATAAATGGAAACTGATCAGTTTCAAAATGTCAAACTGCTTGCTCTGTATTTTGAAACCCCTTTGTCTCAAGCTTTCTATTTAAATAAAAAAATCGGACATTTTTTGCATCAAACTTGTTAGACCTCACGGTGTTAACCACAAGTGAATGAACTGGGCCAAACCTGTTATGACGTACCAAACCAAGCAACACTTGGAATCATCATTAGGTCTTGACGTTAAGGATCATTGATTGACTCAATAATCAGTTCTCTAAATGGTTTGATCAAATATGGGAGTATTACAGATTAACATTGATGCATCGAATCAGGTTGGGCATTCTCATCAGCTGAGTTAAAAATGTCTTTTGCATCAGAAGTGATGCTTTAATCGGTTGTCTTGATCAGGTGTATCAATATGGTTCTACAAAATGATCTGCTGAACTGTGGCTTGTCTGTCCTCTCAGGTAAAACCATGCACAGCATTTTTGAACATTGTGTGTTCTTGGTATCTTGGCCAATATTTTTAAGTCAAATTACACCAGTGTGAAAAGTTTGTTTAACTTATTGATGTGCGATCTTTTTAAATGCAAATTGTCTCCCTTTTCATCAGCATTACAACAATCACTACATTTCAAAAGAACTTGAATGGTTTTAAATTGTTCAAGGACATCATGAAGAAAGCTATATAAATTAAAGTTTGTTTGTTCAGTCTACAATTTATAAATATTTACAGTTAAAATTTACAACTGAAATTAATAATTTTAAATTTACAAATAAATATTTACAATGTTCACTTCTGCTTTGTTTTTTTTAACCGTGACACACGAGGAAAGTGGGTTCTATGAAGTTTAAATCCTGAATATTTGTTTTTGCCATTCTTTGGAGTGGAACCATTGAATGGCAACAGCACAGAAGGAGGTTATTTGGCCCATTGTATCTATGCTGACCCTCCAAAGTTGCAATTCATTTGGTGCCACCATTCCTCCTTCTCTGCTGAACATTCTTCCTTTCCAAATAATAAACGTTAAGAAAATGTAGCGAAATAATGATAATCCATAAAAAAGGCTTTTTTTTTTAGTGCAAAGTGATTTGTTTATCATTTGTTTACTCACTTCATGTTGCATTTTTTTTTCAGGGTGACTGGCTTCCAACTTCCGTCCCCCATTGTCAGCACAGGCTCAATCCTTACACTCTGGTTCACCACAGATTTTGCTGTCAGTGCACAAGGATTCAAGGCTGTTTATGAAGGTAGGATTTCCACAATTTTTATCTGTTTTACATCTGTGCTGTTTATGAAGGTAGGATTTCCACAATTTTTATCTGTTTTACATCTGCGCTGTTACATTTTGAAATGTCTTATTCTTTTTGTATTGGAACATTAACATTTCTGATTGTGAAGCACATTTTTCCCCCTACTCAACTGTGCTTAAATTCAACAAATAAGCAGAAAGCAGGGGGTTCCTCCCAATGACTGAGTGTTTTTACTCAGTGAGAAGATAAGCGGCACAGATCAGAAGTGAAACCTTGGGTATGCCAAGTTAGTTCATGTCAGTTACCAAAAATTAGTGTCAGCATCTCTTGATTAGAAAGAGAACTGGGTAAAGTGTTCCTTCCAGCTTCATGTCAAACAAGACCTCAGTGGAAATGCATAGGTATAGATATCAGGTGAAAGTCGGTTTAGCCTCGAGTAAATACTGATACCCACTGTTCTACTTTCCACGCCCCAATTTCAGGAAGCTGTAGGGAAACAGTTACAGCAGGACTGTGTTCTCACCACCACTTCCAGATCTTCAGATTTAATAAAAGGATAAACAGATATTGAAGATGTGCGTTCACATTTGGATGGACATATTCAAGTTGGTGATGCATGATGGTAAAATGTTACACTATGGATTTTGCATCACTACTAAGTTCCCACTGTTGGCACCTAAATGCCAGACATTCCTGAAAGCCAGCTTTGGCCAGCAGCAATTGGAAGGCTGCAGGGTTGGGTTTCAAAGGGCCCTTAGCGTCATGCAATCCATCACAAAGCTCGCCACCAGTGTGAGCCCAATGGATCTGCTGGAATCAGTACTCACTAATCTAGACAACAATCTAGCAGGGAAAGCCGTGTTCATATGAACAATAACTTATTGGCTGAGGTATCACAGTTGGACACTCTTGAAAACGAAGCAATAACGACACCATCAAGGGAGGAAAACATCAGTGAGGCAGAAAGGACAACTGCACAGTGAACAGGTTTGGCGAGAGTGAAAGAGTGATAATGCATTTCTTTTTCATGTAACATAACAATTGTTAGTTTAATAAGAAACAAAAAAACACTTTGGCAAACTGGAGAAATATTCCAGCCATTTGCAGTCTGGAAATTAAGATCTGAAACCACCATTTCTTGCTTTTAAGGAACAATTAACAATTAATTAACAATTAATCTGCTAAATCCAGAAATGGACATGGATTTCATGTACATTCTACTTCAAAGATATCACCTGAGGAGGGAGGTAAAATAACGACCAAAAGCCCTGACCTGAAGGAGCAAATAACTGTGACATAAGGTGGCTGGGTGAGAATTTTAGTCTCGTCTGAATTTACGTTGGGTAGCAAATGAATATAAGATCAAATTTGGAGGAATTTAACAGGCTTGAGAGATTTATAGCAGCCGGACAGCAAAGAAATGGTGAGGATTTGGCCGAGATAAAGAAATGCCACTCTGAGAAATCAATATAGAGCTTCTTCAGTTTGCAGAAGTAATTTGACTGATATTTAGAAGGGACATTTCATTGGCTGCATGCATGGGAATCTTTTGAAATCTCCCATCCAAGTCCAAGTTAAAGGTAGAATCTGGATGAACTTAGACAATTATTTGGTAAATTGTTTTCTGAAATTTACAAAGGTAAAATAAGGTAAAAGATCAGCAAAGATCCATTAATGTCTTCATTTACCCTTCCTATTTTAGTAGATTCCCTCCTCAAGCACGTGACTATGTGAAAATAACTCATCTCAGACAAAAGATATGAAAGAAATCTATTTAATAGTTTCAAATAATGGTGCTAATTTATTTGCAATTATGTTTGTATTTCTCTCACCATTTGCTCGCATAAAGCCACAAAGGAAATAAAAACACAAAGGTCTTAGTAGAAAAAGGAAGTGAACTTTATTGTTAGTTTGGATAATCTTTATAAGAATTTGTTGTCATAAAATTGTTTCTTTTAATGCACACATTGAAGGTTTGCTGGTTGCTCTTCATGTTATTCAAAAGATCTAACCTTTAGGTGTATGCTAATAGGACGAGATATATGGACAGCAATGTGCAATGCAAAATAATCTCCTAGCATTGACATCAGGAATAAAAGCTAATGTCAAATCTTTGGCCATTATAAAAAAGAGGCAACAACAAATTTCTCTGAGTTTTCTTGTTTTGACAGCACTGGAATTAGATCTGTAATTTCGCAATGCAATCATAAATAATGATTTACCTTCAGCATTCAAAACCTGAGCTTCTGACACATGCAATAAGATTGGTGAAGATTCTCTTAGCTGAATCAAAGAAAAGCATTCTTATTGAAATACGTTCATATAACAGGATGACATTTTTGTTTCCTTTCTGCTTGTTTGCCTGAGATTTTGAAGGAGTTACTTGATGTAATTGTGGACACAGAACTTTTTAAATTTATGCATTTGAAACCTTAATTGAACTAATTAGTTAATGTATTATTAATTGTTTGTGTTATCGTGGACTATATTCTGCTCAAGGTTCATAGTTTATTTTATCAGTATATAAAATGAATGTAAAATTGCCTGAAAATTCTGTGGTTTATATAAGTAACTGAGTTGCTTTGTATATTATGTTCTCTTTAAATATTACGGATGTAAGCCTCTAAATATTATATGTCCAGCAAGAACAAAAAGAAATCTACATCAATCTCAGTGTGAGTAACAAATTGACAGTAGTTTGTGTTAGTACTTTGATATTAACTCATGTTGTTGCATTGATCTCTATCAGTGATGTATTGACCTACAATGTTGAATTAGTTTCAAACTGCGTGTGTCGAATTGTCTGCACCTACTCATGTTAGAGTGGCCACACCATGCGTTCATAAATTTTCAATGGTCTGTGATCCTGAATAGATTTCAGTTCATAACTGTGAATTTTTATGGTGCTGAATATAAAGCATTATTTCAGCAATGACATTGGTAAAAGTTTCATGGTTTTTGAAGGTTAATATCTGTGCACAGAGAGAACTGAAGTGTAAGTTATTTGTACAGTTTAGATTCTAAATACAAGCCCAAAATCAAAACAACAATGTTATCGTTGTCCCTTACTGAAAACACCTAGCAAGTACATAAACGTCATGCAACCCAGGAATCACAGCATTTGTGACTTCAAGGGCTTGAGGTAATAGCTCCCAGCATTATACAAGTCCACTGATCTTGAACCATTTGTTATTTAAATCATTCCAAGATGTGTTTTTGTTTCGAGTCAACCACTATTGAGTTTTAGTCAACTGTAAAACAGCTCAAGTCGCAAAACTTAAATTGTTGATCACTATCTGTTTTAAAGATTAGACTCTGAATACTTCTAATGTGAATGTTGCATTTCAAATCTGCATGTTACACTCTAACCATTAGTGTATATAATTAGAATTTGATCAATTAATTGTTCTGTCTTGCTTCATATGAAAAGCTATCTGTACTAATAAAGGGCAGGGAAATGATGCAAAAACAACCAAATGAACCTGCACTCGGTAATTGTTTTGAAAAAACATTGATGCTGCTCAAAAATATCTTTTTAAGTTGTTCTGATGGTAACTTTGTTACCAATTTTTCACTGTAGCCCTAGACAAGATGACGCCAGAGCATCAATTTGTGTTGGCACAGGGGATACATTGAGCTATGATCATGTGTTGGAGTTATGGTTAGTTGGCTTTAAATTACCACAGAGTTATGAATTGGCACGGGTTATGGATGGAATGGTGTAGGTTGGCATGGAAGAATAAGACACCATGGAATGGATACAGAGACAAAGGTTGACATAAAGTGTAAGAAGGACCATGGAAGGGGGTAGGTGCATGGGTTAAATGGCATGGTTTGGCATGGCTAGAGCATTGGACTGAGTTGGTGGTGAAGGGCTATGAAGATCATAACCAGAACTTAACTGGTTAAAAATTGAGTGTTTGAACATTGAGACTCTAAATCCCAGACAACTGAGGGGTCTTTTGAACAATCCAAACATTGAATGCTATTGAGGGTCACAATGGTTTTGGTAGTTCCAAGGAGTCAATCTAAGCCAGAAGCAGGAACTTCCAATACCTTATTCATTTTTCGTCAGACTAAAATTATACTGGATTATTGTATTAGAGCAAGTTATTAGTTCTGAATTTAGAAAGCATGCTCTGCACATTAGAATGTTAAGAAACTGCATGAAAAGATGAACAAATATATTTAAAGCTCCCAATGGTTTAAGGTGGGAGCTTTCAATACTAATTAGAATTTGAAGTCCTCCAGAATTTTACATTATTTCAAATGCTTGCAGTGGATTAGCACCCAGTTTTATGAATGGGATTGACAGTTTTTTTTGACATGAAATTCTTCACTATTTTGTTGGTAACTATTATGATTCTATGGACAGTAGGCAAAGGGAGGAGTGGTGAAAAAGATGGTGGAGACAAAGGTAGGATATTAAATGTATTGGATAACATGTTGTAAATTGGATGGAAGAATGTTCCTGCAGATTTTAAACGGTATCCTCTCATCCATTCTGAGACAGACCTCAGGACACCGTCTTGTGTGCAAATGAAAATATGACTGTGATACATGAATATTTTCATCACATTTTCCTAAAGTAACACTTTTCCAAAGCAAAGAAAACCCAATGAGGATGGGAGTAATTTTCAGAGATTAAGTTAGGAGCATTGTATGGTGCAATACTCAATTGTACAAACCGGGGAAATTGTCTCATTCTGTCCTTGATCTGGGCTGAGAGAGAGAAATTTAGTCCAAGTTGATACAATAAATTAAAGAGTGGATCAGGCTCTGTTATAATAGAGCCTGGAAGGTATGTGATGTATGTCACAAAAGAAGGTACGTACTCCAAAACCATACCTCAATCTGAGAGGGAGCTAAAGAAGAGAATGTGAATGATATTTTGAGAAGAATTCAAAATGAGAACTGTCAATGGCTCCCATGATGTACAATTTACAGCTAATAGTCAAACTATAGCAGAGTAAATACTCCCAGCAATCAATAAAATG